AAACAATTCTGCGAGACTTCTTCATTTTTCAAACTTGATGACCGGATAACCCCACATGTTACCAACTTCTCTAGACTTAGACTGAGCATAGAAAAGCAAGAAGGGAAGAGGAAGTATAAGAGTGATGGAGGGGTGATGGTGGGTGAGTTTTTGTGTCTGTGCGTATGTATGCGCATGCACAGGTGAGTGAATAAGAATGAGAGTGATGGAGGGGTGATGGTGGGTGAGTTTTTGTGTATGTGTGTATGTATGCGCATGCACAGGTGAGTGAATGAGAATGTATGTGAGTGAGTGCGTGCGTGCGTGCGTGCGTGGGTGGGTGCGTGGGTGCGTGGGTTCGTGGGTGCGTGGGTGCGTGGGTGCGTGGGTGCGTGCGTGCGTGCGTGTGTGCGTGCGTGCGTGCGTGCGTGAGTGAGTGAGTGAGTGAGTGTGAAGGAGGAGGACGGGAAGGAGGAGGAGGAAGAGGCGCGGATACAGAACTAAAAACAAAAACCCCACACGTCAATGTGGGGAAAAACGAAGCAATTCTGCGAGACTTCCTCCAAAATGGAAAGTTGCGTGCAGCGCTGACGGCCTCGTACCAATGTGTTTTGCAATTTTTCCAGTCCACCTGTCTAAACTACTGTGCCTGCCACGAAAAAGTGATGCCAGGTCATACGAAGTGCTGCACCTGTCACGCAAAATCACCACAGCAAACCTGAAGATCTGAGGCCCCAAAATGCAACCCGTCTCAGGAAATCAGCGCCCGGACCTCCTAACAGCTCTGATGAAGATGTCTCTTGTACTGCGCCTGCCACGGAAAATGCATCTTTGCAGATCCTCTTCAAATGCCCCACGCCTGCCATCGTTTTTGGAAATGCTACAAAACCCTCACGTTTTGCTCACTTCTCAAAAGGTGCACAATCCCTTGCGCCTGCCACGCGAAACGACATCTGAACTTCCAAAAGTGGTCCGATCCCCTTGTGTTTTGTACATTGTGACTTCGAAATGTGCTTCGCGCCACACCGGCGTGCATTTTTTCGACATCTCAACTTTCAACAGTGGTCCGAACCTGGTGTGTTTTGTACATTTTGACTTGGAGATGTGCTTCGCGCCACAACGGCGTGCAATTTTTCATCTCTCATCTGGCCAGCGGGCTCCGCACCGAGCCTACTTTTCGACCCCCCGGAGCCACAAATCATTGGAAAAACACAGTGTTTCGCGACTTTCCTACCTTTTCGTGCACCTGCATCTTCTTTCTTCTGACTCTTTCTCTTCTCTGATCTTCTCTCTTCTACTCTTCTCTTCTCTCTGACTCTTCCCATCTCTGCTTTTCATCTGTCCATATTGTCGGAAGTTTGACTTCTAAACTTCCTTCGATCATTGTTCGAATCCCTAAGTTGCTGCCACAGGTCATCTCCAACATCTCCAGACAAGTTCTTGCAGCCACGACGCCGTTCTTCAAAGGCGCTGTGCATAAATCTGTGTCCGCCACCTTCCAGAACACGACTGTTTTTCCAGACTGTTTTCAATAAGTAGATAGATAGAAAGATAAATAGATATGTATATAGGTAAATTTTGGTAGATAGCTAGATACTTAGATAACTAGAAAGGTAGCAAGGTAAATAGGTAGCTAGGTAGCCAGATACAATTGTGAAACACCCCTGTTTCCAGTGTGCATTCACAGCCAAACATTGATTTTGCAATATTTTGCATGATGTTGCATGGTTTTCAGTCAAAGGGCAGCAAGCAGCATGTTTCATGGCAGGAGAACGAGAGCCTTGCGCGGGGACCCTAGTGGCCCGGGACCAGGGACCGGGGCTGGACTCCGTTGGCCCCCAAGATTTCGGAATATTTTGGAATGGTTGGATTTGTTTTGTGATCTTTGTGGGTAGGTATAGCAGTATAGGCAGTATAGCCATGTACGGCCCATGTTTCTGTAGTTCTACATGAAACTACATCTTGCTTCTGTGTCTAAAGTTTCTTGAACTGAGTTTGTTGCAAGATATGTTTGGAACCCTGTGGGTAGCTGGTAGTGATCAAGCATGTTAACAATTGTCAACAACCAAACGGCTGGTCACTAGCCACGAAAGTGCCACTGCAAGCGACTGGTTGGTCAACGCGTTGTGGGGAGTTGCAAATAGCATTATGAAGTCCTGAGTGAGCAACCATGACAGTTGTGCATTCACACGTTTACATGCATTTTATTCATTCATCATTATGTATCATCATTTATCTGATTGAACCTATTTGGTCTGTTGAATCTGTGTAAAGCCCATCCTAGCAAAACCATGAAGTAAAGGAGTTCATGATAGTGGACGGTTCCATGAGTTGATTCTCCACCATTGCCGCCTGTTAAGTCCCAATCGTCATTTTTTCCAAACCGATTCAGATGTTAATTGGCACCATTCTTGTGACTTCTTTATGTTGATTTGCCTGTCCACTTTTTCCTGGTCCATGTAACCTTCTGGCAGGAAGTGCTCGGTTCTTGAATACATATCATACACGACATACACCATACACATACACACACATATGTCCCCTAGGATTTATGCAAGACAATATACATACACATTCACATTCATATTATTCTTGTACATGAATAGTTGTATATATATATATACATATTATGCACATACACATATACATGTATGGTGGACGTCTCCAGAGACCCAAGATGTGTCCCCTACCCCTCTTAGGACTGCCACTCGTGCGCAACTTCGTGAGGGCGCCACAGGTGTGGAGGACACAGCGAAGCAAATGCGGCTCACTGTGCGGGTCAGTTGTAGGTCATCAGAAATGGTTATGTCCACTCAAAAAAATGGTGGTTTTATGGGAGTTAATCAGGGGTTCAATGGGAAATCACCTATTTATGGGAGTATCATGGGATATATAGTACTTATCGTAGCTATATCACGGTTCAATGGGGAAATCAGACACCTTGTTTGGCACTAAAGTGAATGTCTGAGTAGCAGGCCGGAATGTCGTGACATTTTGGCTACCCACTGAACAGATCTCTTGGCGATCAAGGCCGGAATGGCCACTTCCTACGTGGGATGCACATCTAAGTCAGCTTCAGCTTCAAGTAGGTTTCTTATAGAGAATTCGTAGTATCATAAGTGAGCAAACCAATAAACATTGGTTTTTGCCAGAAAAAAATGGATCAACCATAAACAAGTGGGAATCTAAACGCTCACCACAGATCACCACAGCACATAGGATTTGAAGTGACCAGAGTAACTTATACTTTCATATACTTTCGGGTTGGTTCAACACAGAACCAGTTGAAGCTCCACAGCCAATGGAAATCAGCATGGTCTGTGAAGTGCTAAGTCTACATCCCAGGTTTGGTCCCCGTGGAACTTCGCAGGATGTGCTGAACCGTGTGCGCTATGACCTTCTGGAAACTTGATGTGGGATGAGATTGCCCGCCGCATTCTGGCGTTTGAAATCACGATGGATATAGGTCAAAACCGGACAAAACCAGCCTGATGAAAATCTGAGTTTGCCAAAATAGCTAGTGGTTTTGGACGTTTCGCTAAAGCTGACGTTTGCTGGAAATGGACGAAATTCGATGCGGGACTGCAACATGCTGTGTTTGCTGCGTTGTTTTGCCGTGTGTTTGTGGCAAACATTTACCTGAGACAGTGCCTGAACCATGTCCTAAAAAAACTTGATTCATCAATTGCAATGTTTAGAGACTTAGATTAAAGCCAGTAGGAAACAGTAAACCCAGCCAAAATATAGCTAAATAAACCCTAAAGCAACCTTAAGAAAACCACAAAGCAACCTGAATACACCTCAAAATGCATAGAACCCTAAACAACATAAACAAACCCTAAACCAACCCTGAATCAAGCCTAAGTAGGAAACCACCCCTAGGTAAACCCTAAAACAACACTTAATAGACCCCAAAGATCCAAAGCAACTGTAGCCATGGATCACCACCCCCTATGATGTTTGGATATGGATTCCCAATGGGATGACCACACCCTTGGGATCCATGAGGAATCCAAGGAGATGAGCTTCAAGATCTTGGTGGACAATGTTGAGCGGCCGGAGCTATGTCGGCCCCACTTGCTGCGAGGAGACTGCAGGTGGCCAGGGTTGGACAAAAAAATGCTGGGAAATGATCGGAAAAGTCCAAAGAAATGTGGGTGAAATGTGGTAGAAGCACAAGTTTCTTTACAGGTGTCATTTCAAGGCAACGAATGCGGGAAATGATTTTGACAATTAAGTTGAGAGAATTCCATTGAGCCTCTGCGTTTTGGAAGACAACGAGCATCAAGTGAAGATACGTAAAGCGCAATAGGTTTGGAATCATTCCACGATGAGAGCTGTCTCTGGCTCACAGGTACGGTTACAATTGTGTGGAGCTCAATGTTCCAGTGGGCAGAACAGGGCCTTGCCGCGTTCACCGATTTTTGTATTTATCGGTTTCAACATGACCCTGTCTACAGAATGGGATCTCCAATTTTCGGCCATTTTGTGGTCAGTGTCATCTACCTTCATCATATAATTATCTGAAATTGTTGATATGTTATCGTATGTTGATGCTTTTTCATGATTCAATCAGCCAGGGAGACCGTCCTGGTTGGGGCCCTGGTTGGGGCCGAACCTAAGCCAGGCCGCTACCAGCACGTCACGCCGCTCCGCTGGTTGTCTGGATGGGCGGTGCCCTTGGTGAGCAACGGCAGCCGCGTTCCATTCGTGGAGGCCCACCGAAGTTCTGATCCATGGTGGGTGGGCCGTTAGGACACCCCAAAAAGATGTTAAATATGTTATACACCCAGTACTTGATATTGTATAATTACATGTTTTTTTTATTATATTATATATTTTATTATACTATGATATGTTATATTGTATTATTTTATATTATATTATTATTTAGATTATATTATATTATATTATACCATATCACATTATATTATATTGTAATGTGTTTTATTCTATTCTATTCTATTCTGTTCTATTCTGGTGTATTATCTTATATTATCTTGTATTATATTGTAATATATTGTATTATATTGTATTATCTTGTATTGTATTGTATTTTATTATGTTCTGTTATATTATACTATATTATATTGTAATGTATTACCTTATTTTTCATTTTATATATAATATGTTACTATATTATTTTATTGTTATATTATATTATGTTCTTTTAGTTTATATTTATTTTTATTCTATTTTTTTATTATATTAAATGGGTTTTCATCTTATATTTTATTAATATTAACGTTATATTATATTATATTATATTATACTATATTATATTATATTATATTATATTGTATTGTATTATATTATGCGGTTGCAATTGGCACATCACATGCAATAGCATGCCCCTGCACAAAGATGACACCCTGCACAAGGGATGACACGCACAAGGCCGCTACACGGGTGACCTGTAGGCGCTAAGGTAGATCCGGGGGTACGTTTGGTTACCCGAAAGGTTTCAGCCTGTGTCCCAACGCAGGTTATGAGCCCAAGGGTTCACTGGTGCTGACGCAATGGACCTACGGAGGAGCGTGGTGACGCAATCAGTGGAGGTGGCAGGTGGTGGGCGCTCGCAATCACTGCAGGTGGCAGGTGGTGGTGGGAGCTCGTCGCAACAGTGCGAGTGGCTGGTGGAGCCGTGCAAGGACCTCCTGCGGTGGTGGCTATGGCTGAAAAGATTCCCGATGAAATGTTGGATGAACTCTTGGGCCCCCTGCAGCATCTGGTGCTGTGGTGCAATCAGTCCGGGCCACTGAGGCTGCCGAGTCTGGTACTGCAGTGGGGCTTTCGCCGGAGCAGCGGAGGTGGTTGGTCAATGTCGCTGAAGCTATGAGGACTGGCTGTCGCGCCCTTGGCACTGCCTGCAAATGCGCCTGAGGTAGCATCCGGCAGTTTCGGGCCGGTAGAAAAGGAAAGACTTGGCCTGCCACAGCCCATAGTTTGGCAGCTCCAAGAGCCGGTTTAGCAGGTTTCGTGGCAGCTCCAAGAGCCGGTTTGGAAGTTTCGGAGCGTTTGGATGGTTTGAAGGGAGCATCCGGCAGTTTCCGGGCTGGTAGAAAAGGAAAGACTTGGCCTGCCACAGCCCATGGTATGGCAGCTCCAAGAGCCGGTTTGGCAGGTTTCGTGGCAGCTCCAGGAGCCGGTTTGGAAGTTTCGGAGCGTTTGGAGGGTTTGAAGGGAGCATCCGCCATTATCGGGCCGGTAGAAAAGGAAAGACTTGGCCTGCCACAGCCCATAGTTTGGCAGCTCCAAGAGCCGGTTTAGCAGGTTTCGTGGCAGCTCCAGGAGCCGGTTTGGAAGTTTCGGAGCGTTTGGAGGGTTTGAAGGGAGCATCCTGCAGTTTCGGGCCGGTAGAAAAGGCAAGACTTGGCCTGCCACAGCCCATAGTTTGGCAGCTCCAAGAGCCGGTTTGGAAGTTTCGGAGCGTTTGGAGGGTTTGAAGGGAGCATCCTGCAGTTTCGGGCCGGTATTGTATTATATTGTATTATATTGTCTTTTATTGTATTATATTGTATTATTTTGTACTATACTATTTCATGTTTTATTATATATTATGTGTATATATATATACATAAGTAGTTTAGTTTTATATTTATATATATATGTGTGTGTGTGACTGACTATCTTTCAGATATTATGCGTATGATTTTTGTTTGATGAGATAACTTTACAATAATACAGGATGATCATACAGTCCCATTGGTGGGGACAGTTGGGGACAGTTGGGGACTCTGCACTCTGCACTCTGCAGACGCTGGAGACCGGCAAGTTCTTTCATCTCTTGGATTCAGCTCCATCGGCCACCGCGCGACATGCCTTGCTTCAGACCGTGGCCTTTGTGCTGCACAAAGGTGGGGATGGTGCGGTTTTCTGGGTCCTGGAAGAGGTTGCAGCATCACCCCAAGCTGCAGACGGTGTGAAAATGATGGACAAGTCTCCCAATTTTTAATTTACTGGGTTGATTCATCACGGGTTGGTGGATGTTTGTTGTTTGAGACCCACGGAGCTTGTCCTTGCTCCCCTGGGTGACATGAATCTGTCACTCCAAGGATGTTGACGGGATTGGGAATATAAATGAATATAAGATGTGTATAGATGTGCGCATTGTTTGCATAGAACAAGACTGATTTTTACAATAGGCCTCATCCTGCAACAGGTGGATCTGCAACTGTTTCATTGAGTGATTCCTACGCTGTTGGACATCTGAACATGGTCAACATGTTTTGGATGTTTGTACGGTTTGTTAGTCTCCCACATCATGAACAATACGTCCGGCAGAGATTCTAGTATACGAGTGAAATGCTGCACTCAAGAAGTATAGTCTAGGAGTTGCAACAGAAATTACAAAAATGCCAGAAGCTGAAGAGACCAACCAGGACAAAATCCTCACACATTCAACCATCAAATTTACCCAAAAAACACGGAACTCGTTCGACCACCGGTAGCTAGAATGTCAGACGATCAATAGGCCTCAATAGGCACCTTTTCTGGGAGGGTTTGAAGCGACGTACTTGC